CAGTACGAGCTTCGCCTCACCGCGTCTGATAACCTGAAAGAAAATTACACGACAGTGGTGATACACGTGAAGGACGTGAACGACAATCCGCCTGTCTTCGAACGACCGACTTACAAAACACAGATCACAGAGGAGGACGACAGGACCCTGCCTAAACGCGTCCTCGGGGTAATTATTCGTTCATTCCTGCTCTGCCACCCTAATTTCCCGTCGACTGATTTTCGATCGTTACGCCGAAATGCTTTGAGAATATCGGGAGGGATAAGTTGATTTTCCCTTTTTTTTTTTCTTCTTTTTTCTTTGCGATCTGCGTCGATTTCACAACTCGAAACAGCGAGTCTTTCTACATTGTACGAGTCTTTCTTCTATTGGATAACAACTTTTCTAATTCCAATAGTGGGGAATTTCTGACTTTTATTAATTTCAATAATGCTAGCGTGCAATTTCTATTAATTCGCGTCAATTTTTTTACAATTTCCTTTTTTACAATCGGGCGAGAAAGGGGGGCAGGGATGATATCTCATTTCCGTAAATTGTCAAATCGGCAACGTGAATTCGCGACACTTGCTAAAGTTAATCCGAAGCTGTGTCGTTACGTCGCTTCTTAACATACGCCCGGCAGCAAGCTTCCGGATAAACGAAAATTATAGTACGCACGCCGGTTATATCTACCAGGCTTATATAGAATTCAGAGCGTAAAATCCGGAATATGAAACAAGTAATATGAAACATAAAGTATGGATCGTACGATATAGAATACATAGTGTGGAACATGAAATATGCAGGCATAGTGTATGGCAGCCGTTGCACGGCATATAACGTATATAAAATATTCATAATTTATGGCCTGCGATCGAAACTTATACAAAGCTTGACGAATGAGCGAATTGTAAATGAATTCACGATGAAGAGAGACAAAGATCGACAGTTAAAAATCGTAAAATCGTTAACTAAAATATTAGCTAAGAAATGACGGTGCCAATGACGTTGCTATTGGTAATAAAAAAAAAATTCGTTAATCATCGCAGGTCACAGCGACTGACGGCGACAAGGACAGGCCGCAGGATATCGTCTACTTTTTAACTGGCCAGGGCATCGATCCTGACAATCCAGCGAACAGTAAATTCGACATAAACCGCACCAGCGGTGAAATTTACGTTCTAAAGGTTTGTTTGCAATCCTGTTACGATGATTAGCAAAAGCACATAATTCGTGTGAATGTTAATACCTTCAAATCATTTATAACGATGCGAAGAAATTAATGCAGTATGCAAAAAATGATTTTATTTGTAATATGCATGCGTGAATATTAGTCGCGTAATAATCATTGTGACATACATCGTGCTGAAGCACTTGCAGGCAAAGAAAAGGTATTATATATTTCAATATATATTTTATAAGTTAAAAATAAGTGAAAGTCGAAGAAACGCATTCCAGCGCCATCTGGGGGATCACACGCTTCAACTTATCTGTTGCAGATAACATTCCAATATAATTATGTGCAAAAGCACATAATTCGAGTGAATGTTAATACCTCCAAATCATTTAGAAATTAATGCAGTATGCAAAAATGATTTTATTTGTAATATGCATGCGTGAATATTAGTCGCGTAATAATTATTGTGACATACATCGTGCTGAAGCAGGCAAAGAAAAGGTAAATCACAATGTGACGACTTCTTTGGTACAATTTTTGCTCTACGTAATTTTTTTTCGAACATCTTCTGAAAAAATCGTCGCTAGTTTTTTTTTTTTTTCATTTCAAAATATATTTTATAAGTTAAAAATAAGTGAAAGTCGAAGAAACGCATTCCAGCGCCATCTGAGGGATCACACGCTTCAACTTATCCGTTGTAGATAAACATTTCAATATAATAATAGGAAATTCAACGTGTTAATTAAACCGATTTATCACCAAAGTATATGCTTGAATCCTCTTCAAATCTATGTTGTTCAACAGACGAAACTTTTGTCTTTGACACTTGCACGTGGAGAAAGATCGAAATTGAAGCAGCAGACTGCTTATAGATTCTGCCTAGGACCTGATTAAAACGTAAAAACTTCGTACAATTCCAGAGCGACGTGAAAGATTCCACTTCAAATAGACTCGCGCTGCTTTTCCTCAAGATTTATTTAATGTTTGATGTTTGAAAAAAGAGGAGCAGGTCTGAATCTTGGACGATAAATCGCGTATTTAATTCACAGCCCCGCTGAGAAACGCGAGAACGATAACACACACAAAGAGAAAGATATATATATATATATATATA